TTGATGCCCGGCGCTATGCGCGCTGTGCAATTGCACATCCGGAAGCTAAAAGTGGGATGAGCGCTCCGCAGAGCTGCCTCATCATCGGCTCGAAAGCCCAGGCTAGAAAACTCATATGGAAATATGTAGATAAGCAGCTGCAGATACTGTACACTCTCGGTCACGGCATGCGAAAGTTTCTCAGTCCACGAGCTGCAAGAAATCCGGCAGACTGAAAGGCTGGGCAGTGTTGTTGTCGTTGACAGTGTCTCCGGTCATGGCGGTGTCGCTGCTGTTAGCTGTGACTGTGTCGTCGAGGGAGTTGAGGGGGTGCGGGTGGTCGTCATCTTCCGTGAGGTCGATGATGATGTCGGGGTTGCCTCCCTGTTGGCCGGTTCCGTAGCCAGTCAAGCCCTAGGTTGCCGAGGAGGCTGTGGATGTAGCACCTGTGTCCGGGCCGACCTGCATAGGGGCCGTCGTAGTAGGCCGAGCCTGAGCCTGCATCAAAGGAGCCGAAGGCGTAATCGATGCCTGGCCATGGCGAGCTGCATGCAGCCGTTGGCATCGGCGTGTGTGCAGGCCTCCGCCCGAGCCCGCGCACCTGGAGCAGCAGTGGTAGTAGCCAGGGTTGGCCCTGCGTCGGCAGTTGTGGATTCCGCAGAGCGATCTGGTGGCCCCAACTGGGGGCGCAGGCTGCAGTCCCTGTTGAGCACGTTGACACCTGTGAGAATGTCCATCCCCTGTAAGGCGGCAGCGACGACAGCAGTGTTTATGTCCATTATCCGGAAACCTTAGCGGGCAGGAGGGTGTACGGCATTGTCTAAGACGCTGCGCGACCGCCAAAGGCGGAGGTGGAGCTGCATTGCTCCAAACATTCGCCGGCTGCTGCGCTGCGTGGGCCATGGGCGCTAGCTGACCTTACAGCGCGGGGATCAGCTCACCAGCAGCCAGAGCCATGCCAGGCAAAAGAAGTCATCGCCCTGCTTGACCTGCCTAGGCTATGCATGCCGTGCACGCCAGCCTTTGTTACGTGCGAGCCTAAGCGCCACTGAGAAAACGGGCTTCAGGGGCTGTATACGGTCAACAGGATCGGTGGGCCTAAGGGGGGCAAAAACCTACCTCCTTAAGGAAGCTAGAGGCTGCAGGAAGAAGCTTGTCAGAGTGGCGGACGGTGAACGTAATCAGCGTCACTCTATTGCCTGCCGTCCATTCACTGGTGGCGTGCGGTGTGCACCAGCCGTTGAAAAAGACTCCGCAGGCACTGGTTTTGTAGAGCCGCCCTGCTGTAAAGACTCCATCCACCTCATGGTAGTGCTTGCCGCACCGATCGGCAAGCCATAATTCCCCACCATCATGATGCGACAGCCCTAAGAGTAGGCTCGGTGCCGGACCGTTATTACGGTCAGTGTGCGGCGAGGTATGGTTATCAATATTTATCACAAGCATGGTCCAATTGTAACCATGGTGTCGCTCTGCTACCATGCGCACTGCTGCATTAAGAAGTGTACATATTGCTGGGTGGTCTTTGGTGGCCTTGCTCAGGCCAATGATTCCACCCTTACAGTAGGCCCCCAGCACGCAAGTTTGCCCTGTAGCAAAGGGGCGCTTGTCTGGGGAGAACTGCATCATGGCCACTGTCTCGCGTACAGCTGTCCACAGGGATCCTGAGCCCTCTGACAGATAGTTCATGGCTCGGCGCTCAGCGATGCTGGGATCCGCTGGGCATTGCTTCGGCATAGGTGGGAAGGGCACATCAATGCTACCTTGGATCTCCGATGCCAGGCTATCTGCATACCGGAGAAAATGATCTCGGGCATCGCCGTGCAGCACTGCATGGCAGTGTGCACCAGATCATTTCGACTGGCCATTGTGAGGGCCGGTGGCCGTATCTTAGCAGGATCCAAGAGCCCATGTAGTGTGGTCAGGAGGAGGTATTCCTCCAAGGCCGCCAGATACATATGCTGAGGCAGCTCTACACTGGACATGTTGGGGCATGGTGCAACAAGAAGGCTGGGCCCAGATGCTGCCAGGGCGGATTTGCTTGGGCAGGCAGTGCGGCGACTGTCTGACAGCAGCATTGTTAAGGCTCCGGCCGATTTCTGAAGGCAGCGGGTACGGTAGCCCAAGGTACTTGAGCTGCGTGTGCTACCGGGCTAGGGCAGTTGGGGAGTGAGGGTTTTAGGGTTGAGGTGGGCCGTGTTGCGATGCAAGCTGCAAAACATTAACATGGGAGTACACTCAGCGGCAGACGAGAAACACGTTTGTGACGGACGTCTGCAGGCTTCGCGGCATCCCGTCATGCATCCAAAATTAGCATCAGGTGCCCCGCGGCGAACCGCTGCGGGCACCTGGACGACTTATGCGTCATTCGTGTCGCAAGAGCCCAAGCAGGTAACAGTTTTGGGCGAGCCATTGCTGTTCTTGTTCTTTCATGGGCCTCGATGCAACACGATCGTCACTTAGGTAAAAGCGCGAGCCGCAGCTCAAAGCGGCTTGATAGTGACCTGCATGCGGCGTGTCTCCGGTGTGCACAATCGCAAACAACAATCTGTAGCTCACTGTTCTAACAGTATCACTCTCGCCTGTGCAAAAGATGGGCACCTTGACGACAGCATTGGGCCTCAGGTCGACGGGATCGTTGCGCTTGCGAGCGTGCCCGTCTCGAAACTCATAGCGCTTGAGCTGAACAGTGAAAAACGGTGTCTCAGCAACCAACGCGTGGGGATAATGCTGGTTCCCCCATCTTGTGAGTAGGGCTTGTAGGTCAGCAGTATGGGCATTAAGGTCTATGGGAATGGGGGTCCATAGCATGGCATGGTCACGAATGCGGATCGCACCTCGTGATCCCTCTCTGGACTCCCAAGTGCCTGCCGTGCCCGTGGGCTCAGCCATAGACATTAAAAAGCTCCAAAACTCGGCTACATCATGTTGTTGCCTGAGGTTGGGCCATGCACGAAGGTGAGGCATCCATTGCATTAAGCCTGGCACGTAGGTAGGCTTTCTCGGCGTGCCAACACAACAGCTACGAAGGGCAGGGCCTAATATCCCAAAGAAGGCCGCGCTGTCGCCCGTGTATTGCCCTAACCAGATCAGGGCGGTAACGCAGGAGTTGAGATAGCACACGTTGTGTGGATTATGCAAGTACACTGCATCTGGCCTCGGCAAGGCTCGGGCCCGGGAGGCAACAGCCTCCTGTGAACCTAAAGTTCCGGCTCCTTCTCCTTCTCCTCCGCTGGTTTGGGCTCCGACGGCTGTGAGGCCTCCTGCTGCTGCTGGCCCCGGTACGGATTGGTGGCGTCCATGAGGCTCTCGGCGCATTGGCCCAGCTTGACCGCTAGGGGCTGACGCTTCATGCGATCCGGCCTCATCCTGACCCCGATGAGGGAAAGGCAGGCGTTGTTGCACAGAGTACTGAACAGGCCGTGCAGCTCGTCCGCCAGGGCGCCGCGGTTTGACACCATGAGGACAAAGGGGAGCACTTCCGAGCGGTAGGTGGGAGCCATGGGTCGCGTCGCATGAAATTTCATCAGGAGGCCGTTCATCGAAATCAGTTCGAAGATGCGCTGGATGGTGGCCTCTGCTTGTGCGTGTGGTAGGGGAGGCTTGATCGCGTCCACCTCCTGCTCTTCCTTTTCCTGGTTGTACGTCATGTACGCCCAGGCAGGCGGGTTGGCCTTGGTCAGCCAGCGTGCTTCTCCAAGGAGGGCCTGACCTCCTCGTGGAGGGCTGTTTGCATCTTCTCCTTCACTGCCGTGAGCATCCCGATGATCAAGGTGACGCGGAGGGACTGGTTGATCTTGCCCTCGTCCTTGAGTCTGCGCCATTCCTGGGCAATGTTGTAGAGCGCGCGGGTGATCGTCATTCCGCGGGTGTTGAAGTAGAGCATGAAAGAAGTGTCGGAGCGTAGGGCCGCCTCCGTGTCCTCGTGCTTGAGGGCTAGCCTCGCCAGAAAGCCCACCGCCTCCCTCAGCTCGTCCCCGCTGATCTTCTGGCTTAAGGTCTGTTCCTCCCCGTGCCATTCCCGCTGCCATCGCTCCTGTCCCCAGCTTTGGCTCCAGTTTTGGGCCCTTTCCCCTGGAGCCTTTGTTGGACGGCTTGTGCCACTTGTTGGCCGGCCCCTCTTCCCGAGGGGGCGAGCGCTTCGTTGCCGCTGCATCCTCCTGGGTCGCCATCGCACGGAGGGGTGTCCGAAGCACTGGTTGACCTCTTCCTCGTCTTGAAGGGGGGGCCTCAGGGAACCATATTTGGTGCATGAGACAAGCCTGAAAGACCCTGAGCAGAGTGGCTGCTGTTGCGCTGAGCTCCCTGGCTGAAAGGAGCAAACGCGGCACGGGCCTTTGTAGCGAAGCCGGTAGTGGGCCTTGAGCCTACGGATTACGGCATCACGATGTGACCAATGGCTGGGGTGCATGCGGCGGATATGATTCTTGAGCCTCTTGGCCATGGTTTTCAGCAAAAGAGACCCAATCGGTGTCCAGAGCTGATCTGCTGATCTCGTGTCAGGCTGGTCAAAAAGGGGCAGCGGTGCTGGTGCTGCCTCGGCAGTAGCCTCCCCTGCAGCGCACTGCGGAACGGGGACACTGGCCGAGGGGGTCGCCTGCGAGTTCGAGGTTTTGGAGACTTCAGCTGTCATGGCAGGGCACTGTCTGAGTATGTGATTCTGAAATCCTCGCCACTTACGGAATGCTTGGTTACAGTATCTACATACGGGCATGCCATTTTTGCTGTGCGGCATGAAGTCTTCCTGTCTCCTACCGGCAGGCCTGTCGAGGGCAGTGGCCCTAAATAGTCAATAGAGGAGGAGTAAGCGAGCTTGAGGGGCTCAAAGGGTGTTCCCATATCATAGAAGAGGGCGTCACGCTGACGGAAGCTGCGCTTTGCTAGCCATCTGTGCAGCGGGCCGCCGACGGCTTTGACAAGAAAATGTGATTTCTCTGCATTCGCCTGCATTCCGGCCTCCCGTAGTACAAGGAAGAGTTGCTGGATGCGCTGGGACATGAGTTGGGCGTCCTCAACTTTGTGTAGGGTGAAGGAGCAGATGAAATCGTCTGCAAAAGCCGTCACTTCGTCACGAACCCACTCCGGGCTGGTGCGCTGGGAGAGGCAATGAAGCATGTACGTCGTGACACAAACCCACAGCAGCGGTGACAGAACGCACCCTTGCCTAATTCCATTCCGCAGAGCTATGCTACCCTCGTGCTGGTGGTGCGTGATGTGATAGGATGCCTGGTGAAGGGCAAGGGTGAGTTGTATGGTATCCTCGTCGATCTCAAGGTGTCGCATGGCTGCAGCTAGGTATGAATGACTGACCTGGTCAAAAGCTTTGCTCATGTCGATACTTAGGAGTGCAGCACCTCTAGCCTGGATGCAGGCCTTGCCCGCCCTGCGATCATGCACCTCCCTACGGAGGCCGGAAAGCTGCTGTCGAGCTTCCCGCTGCTGCGATTCGGCTGATGGCATTGGTGGTGCTGCGTCCGGGCAGGTATGCGTACTGGGGCACTTGGTCCAAGCGGGGGAGGATGTGCTTGAGGATTCGGGTCTTAATAATACGGGCAAGGCATTTGCCAAGGGGGCATTGTAGGGCAATTGGCCGCAAATTAGCCGGGGCTTTGGTGGGCTTATGAGGTTTCGGGAGGAGGTGGAGCCATCCATCTCTCCAGTCAGTGGGCAGGTCAATAGCACCAGCGGACAGGTGCTGTTGGAACAGCCCACTGACGTGCGGCAGCAGTAGATGCGCGCAACGCTTCCAGACGTCAGGGGGCACCTTTCCCTGGGGAACAGCCTTGCCGGCCTTCTGCTGCTTGAGGCTGGTCAGGATCTCTGTATCGGTGATGTTATAGTCATGTTGAAGGACATAGGTGGTATTGCAAGTGTCGGGGCCTTGTTGGTAAAGGTGTGTAAAGTACTCGTAGATTTGTTGGAATTCTTGGGCAGGGTCGAGGATGGTATTATCGGGTCCCCTGATCTGGATGTGTTCCCTCGGGGCCTTAGGCGCAAGACGTCGGACGTGACGGTAAAATGCGTGCATATCTCCCGTGCTAGCAGCCTGTTCGGCCTCTTGCAAAATGTCCTGGACAAGAGCCCTGCGCCGCTCACGTCCACGCTGCCTAAGAGCCTTCTGGCATCGCTGAAAGGCTGCATGCCTGCGGAAAGCCTCAAAGGCATAGGCTATCAGACCCGTGTCCCGGTTCCTAAGTCGAAGGGCTCTATGATACTGATGAAAGGTACGTAAGTCCTTATACCTAGACCAGAGCTGCCTTACCTCGAGTTGGGCATATAGGGTGCTGCCAAGCTCTAGGGGCTGGGGTCTGGGCTCGCTTTGGGAACACCTTCTGACAGCTGTCATGCACTACCCGCGTCAGCTCAGCAGCTGTGCTGACGGTGGCCTGCGCAAGACGCGTTTGGAGGTGAAGGTCCAGCTCACGCGCCTGTGCACTGTCCTACCGAAGGGCCTCCCGAAGCGTACTTCTGCAGAGGCCCGTTGGCGGGGTCTTGGTGACCTTAGCATAGAAGGCGGGGATGCGGATGCTGGCCACTAAGGCTTTATGCTTGCCACCTTCACGCCGCGGCGAAAATCGCAGTTGGGCAGGAGCTGGCTGCGTCGCGCCTGTTGGTCTACGTGTGCTAGGTCAAGCATGATAAAGTCTATCTGGCTCGAGTGTGCCTTGTCTGGGTCTACATAGGTGGCTGACCTACGTTTGGATGACCATGTATTCAACGCACACATGCGGCCAGCTATCAATGCCTGCTGTGCATCATTGACATTGGGATAGGCAGCACGGGCGGCTCCTCGGTATGTGCCAGGCCCCACATGTTGCCCATCGGTGCTGAGGGTGCAGTTCAGGTCTCCTGCCACACACTTGGCGTTGCGAGCAGGAAGGGTGGTGAGCAGCCTGTTTAAGCGCTGCCATACCTCTTGACGTTTGGCCGAACGTTGTTTCGAGGCATCGGTGTCCCATGCCCACTGATAAATGTTAATCAAATCAAGGTGTAGATTCTGTTTGTGACATCCTACTGGTATACGAGCATGCAATAAACGACCCGGAATCAATTCCTGAAATCTGACATCCAAGTGGCTTGCCAAACGTTCTGAGATGTACAGTGCGACTCCTGCCCATCTGTGCGAGGGGTCCGGGCTGGAGATCACTGTCCATCCAGGAACCTTGTACTCCGTGAAAGCGCGGCCCAGTCCGTGGTGTGTCTCCTGGAGGAAGACGACGTCGTAGGGGTTGCGAGCGCTCGTAAGCCAGTTCATGAAGACGTCATGGGTCGATGTGCACAGCCCGCCCACGTTCTTGCTGAGGATGCGGATGCGGCGGCTTGTGGATGGTGGTAGTTGTGGCGGGCGTGGTAGCGTGACCACGGCCGACTCTTGTGTGCCACCAAGCTGCTCCAGGGTGAGTCGACGGTCCCTGTACATGGTGGTGCCATCCGCAGAATGCCTGGCTCTCCGCACCGCGCGCTGAT